TTTCGGCTCATAATTTTTTTTTTTAATTGCCTTATTTCTACCTTTGCCCCTGGTAACATCTTCTCTCACCTGGAGGCAAACTCAAAATTTCATGCTAGTGATTAGGAGAGAAACCAAGATGGCAGCATAGGTAAAAGCCTAACTGAAGCCTCACACAACAATTTCAAAAAATACAACTAAAATATAAAGTGGACATTATCCAGAACTACAGGGAATTTGACTGACTGGAAATTCTACAACTAGAAGGAAAGAGAAAACCAGAAGGAAAATCAGAAAAGCTGTAAAAGCCTAAGGTACAGAGACACAGTGTGCATGTGGGGAGAGGACCGAGCCAGAGAGGAAGGGCGGCTGAGTGCATGGTTGGCGTTCCCTAGTGGGAAGAAGATAAAAGCTCCGGACTGTGCTGAACCAGTACCTACTGCACTGAACCCCAGTTCTGGGCGAGACCCTGGGGTCCCAGGCTCATACAGAGGGATTCTAGGCTGTATGGTGGAAACTCAGGGGAGTGGAGAAAGGCAGAGCCTTGGAGTCGCGCACATTGCGCACAGAGGAGTGACTGTTGACTGTGCCGCTAGATTGCCCTAGTGGGAAGGAGACAAAAGCTCTGGAATGCACTGAACCCCACTTCCAACTGCACTGAACCCTAGTTCTGGGCTCATTGGAGGAGAGACTAGACTGTCTGGTAGTGGACAAAATTCGAGGGCACCTTTCTCTCAGAGGTGCTTGCAGCAAGTACCAAAGCACTGAGTACCAAAGGACACTGAGGAACACTGAGACTCAGGAACCTCATAGGGCAGGGCTGACAGGAAGCCAAGGCTGTAGGCTCCACCCCAAAACTCCTCTCCATCCAAGCTGAGCACAGAGGCTTTTGTGCATAGACACAGCTGATCCTCACAGCCAATTGGCCTGGAGGTCAATTCCTCCCAGTGATACCAACAACAATTAAGACTTAACTACACACAGTCCACAAAGGGGTGCACCAAGAGTGTCCACCTCAGATAACTGGGAGGCTGACCCACTGAACCATATAGGACACCTTAACACACAAAGCCACCCTACCAACTCAGGAAGCAGCGAAAATGCCGAGACAAGGAAACAGATCACAAACGAAAGAAATGGAGGACAAAAAGCAACTGGATATAGAGTTCAAAATCATGCTTATAAAGTTTTTAAAGAATTTCCTAGAAATGGCCGATAAAATAAATGAGACCTATGAGGATATGAAAAGGGATCAACTAGAAATAAAGAATACATTGTCTGAAATTAAAAAAAAATATTATACAGAGTCTTAAAAACAGAATGGAAGGTCACAAGAATCAAGTCAAAGATTTGGAAAACAAAGAGCCAGAGGACACTCCTCCGCAGAAGCAAGAAGACAAGAGAATCCAGAAAATGAAGATAATGTAAGAAACCTCTGGGACAACTTCAAATAAACCAACATCAGAATTAAGGGGGTCCCAGAAGAAGAGAGAGAGCAAGAACCCGAAAACATACTGAAAGAAATAGTGACAGAAAAGTTCCCCCACTTGGAGAAAGAAATAGACTTACAAGTCCAGGAAGCACACAGAACCCCAAACAAAAGGAACCCAAAGAGGACCACACCAACACACATCATAATTAAAATTCCAAGGGCAAAAGACAAAGAGAATATTAAAAGCAGCAAGAGCAAAGCAGGTAGTTACCTATAAAGGAGCACCCATATGACTGTCAGCTGATTTCTCAATAGAAACCATGCAGGCCAGACGGGAATGGCAAGAAATATTCAAGGTGATGAATAGCAAGAACCTACAGCCAAAAATACTCTACCCAGCAAAGCTATCACTGAGAATCGAAGGCCAGATAAAGAGCTTCACAAATAAAGAAAAAGCTAAAGGAGTTCATCACCGCCAAACCAGAATTATATGAATTGCTGAAGGGGCTTATTTAGGAAGAGGAAGAAAATAAAGATAAAAATTATGAACAACAAATATGTAACTATCAACAAGTGAATCTAAAAACCAAGGGAATTAAAAAACCTGATGAACAATATTAACTGTTGAATATAATAGAATCAGAGGTATGGAAGGGAAGTGGACTGAGGATTCTCAGGGAAAAGAGGAGTGGGAGGTGCAGGAAGAGAATGAACATAAACTGTGCACCTATGGATGAGGACAATAGGGGGTGGGGAAAGGGCAGAGGGTGGGGTGGGAACCTGATGGAGGGGGGAAAAATGAGGAACATTTGTAATAATATGAACAATAAAGATTTATTTTAAAAAAATTCATGCCATGATTAGAAAGTCTTTACCATATCCTAGCAATTAAGTACATTTTTGGGAGAAAGCAGTTAGCTAATATTTAGATGACTACAACAAACAACAAGCAAATAAATTTGTATACACACACACCTTCAAAAACCAAACCGACCAAAAACACAGAAAACATCCCAATTCTGGCTGGCATTGGGCCATCTTTTTCAGCTACCAGATTAGCTTTCACGCTTTTATCACCTCTGCTGAATGAGTATTGTTCTGTCATTTTGGAATTACAATGGCTCTGCAATCTCTGGAACCAAAACCAGACTCTGTTTGAATATGTGGGAGAATGTAAGATCTGTCCCATATCAGTTTCTGGAACTCCAGACCTCATCGCCAATGGCAGGTGGATGGCTTTGCTTGACCATCAAGTATCTCAAGTTCAGCAAGTCTGAAATTTTACCCCATTCTTTTCCTTCTTAATCTTTTTTTCTCCTGAGTCCCTTGATATCCATAGATTTCATTACTCTTCCTCTTAGTTTCACAAATGATTAATCACCTTTTTTAGAGTCTTTCACAACATATCCCTTTCCCTTCACCCCAATATCAAGTCATTTATCAGGCACCCATTGTCTGCTTTAATTCTCCCCCCCCCTCTTTTTTTTTTATTAAGGTATTATATGTGTACATATCTTACTAATTCCCTGCCCCCACTCTCATACATGCCCTCCCTCCCCAGAGTGTCTGCTCTAATTCTTAGACCTGTCAGCTCCCCTGTGTTCCACTGCCTCCGAGTTGGAAGTAGCTTTGGTTCCTTATCCTTTCTCCCTGGAGTAAGGCAAGAGTTTCTCAGCCAGTGTTCTGGCTTTCGGAAGGCTGCTCACCTTTCACTTTTCTGTGCTCCTGTTATCGAACAGAGATCTGACCACTCACCTGAACTGCTGGTAAACCTCCAGCAGTTCCTCACTGCCTTCGGTGTCCTTGTATCTCCCTACATCCTCAGAACTTGATACTCCGAATCCGCAAGACTTGGTTGAAACCTTGAAATGGAAAGATAAGAATGATGAGACAGGCAGGTGACTCCGGGGACTGCTGGGAGACTTTTGATGAGCTTTAGGAATGGAACAGAGGAGTCTGTTGTTGCCCACTGGTTAGTTAGCTAACGAGGAAACTCAGATTATAAAGAAATGTATTTGTATTGATTTCAGAGAGGAAGGAAGAGGGAGAGAAATACAGACATCAATGATGAGAGAGAATCGTTGAGTGGGAGCCTCCTGCATGCCCCCGTGCTGGGGATTGAGCATATAACCCGGGCATTTGCCCTGACCAGGAATTGAACTGTGACCTCCTGGTTCATAGGTCTGTACCCAGCCACTGAACCACACCAGCTAGGCAAAACTCAGATTATTAAAAATCAGAACTTTCACCAGAAAGTTTCCTGTTTTGTACACTTGACATTCTAGAGTTCTGTTAGACCATGACTTTACAAATGAAATAAAAGGATTTGTGCTGTTGATTATAAAGTGATTATCTTTAAAAAAGACCAACACCAGGGGGAAAAAAATCACTGAATTGAAAGTTTAGAATTATGGAATTGATTTATGAGCTCCAACAAGGGGTCAGGTATTAAATTGTTGCTTTTTCTATGTTTCTTCAATTTATTGCTCAAAATTGTTACAAAAGCTAATTCAGTCTTGTTTATATGATATATTTTTAATTTCTTGGAGTTCAAAATTCTACTAAAAATAAAACATGAATGGCTCCTGTTACCTTGCCTGTTTAAATTCGTTGATATCAAATTTGTTTCTGGATTTCATGATTTTTTTAATTCATGTATTCCTTCCCGGCCCCCCCCCCCTTCTGCCTTTTATTTTTATAGTGTAACACTTGGAAGACTCACGTGCTTTTGGCATGTATGTTAGAGATATTCTACAGTTTCCTTTAGTGACGTGTTAGAATCTTTTGTTTCCTTTTTTGGAGAGTGTTTCAAGCACCCAGGCTTGGATATTGCTGTTTTCACATTTGGATGGCAACATGCACACGCATTTTCCCCAGTGTCTCCTGCTCCTCGCAGCTAGTGGCAACAAGCTCTAACAGGTCCAGAATGAAAGTGAAAAATTGCAGCACACAGTTTCCAGTTTCATCTTTATGGCCAGTTTCCCAGGTGATTTTGAGACAGTCCTAAGTGCAAAAGGCATAATGGGATGATAATACCCCACCTATGGATAGGTTTGCCATATAGATAAATGAGATCATGCCTGCAAATGACTATTAGCTCAGCTTCTTGGAAGAAGATGATTATGGAGCCACAATAATTACAGCAGTCGTTGTTTTTAGTGCAATCTGCTCTAGTGTACTTTGTCTCTGCCTGGTTTCATTATAACCAGCAGCTTTCTAAAGGAGATCACAATGGAGGCTTTTATGAAGACATTATATATTATAAAAGCCTAAGTGATCTTCCAACTGTTAGCCCATCCGACCAGGAACTATGACACACACTGACCACCAGGGGGCAGATGCTCAACACAGGAGCTGCTGAGCTGTGGTGATTTGGCAGCAGTGGTTCTTGGGTGACTGGAACCAGAGAGGAAAGATCCCAATTCTGGGGTGCATCACCCGAGAACTGCCCTCTCACAATCTGAGACCCTTTGGGGGATGTCAGGGAACTGGTTTCGGCCCTATCCCTGCAGGCTAGGCTGAGGTTGTTCTTGTTCTTGTTTTAAAGTATAAAACCCTTGAACCCCTGTGCACGAATCCATGCACCAGTTCTCTAGTAGAAGGATAAAAGAATTAAGAATGGCAGTCAATATGTAGGATGGTGTGTCATGATGACACATTTTTCCTTACAACCATCTTTAACCTGGTTCTCTCCAGAGGCACCTGTGTGATCATTTCTGTTTCGAGCAATCTACTTCTGAGGGTCTTCATCATATAGGGTATACCACTGTAATGCGTATTTCCAGTGTCTTGGGAAGTGGAGGACAAGGTAAGAAAATTTGGGCTGAGGAAGCCACATTGTTTGTCCATTTCCATGTGGGAGAATTTGACTTCAACAGTTGAGCAATTCTGAGGCTTCCAGATGGTTAGGTGGGTTTCAGAATTCAATATGTCTGGGTCATTCAAGGGGGGAGGGGTTCAAACAAAAGCTTCTTGCACTTGAGAATGCTTGCTTTTTTAATCATCTCCCGAGGATATATTTTTAAGGAGAGCTTCAGATTCTTTTTTTAATATTTTTATTGATTTTGTACAGAGAGGAAGGGAGAGAGATAGAAAGTTAGAAACATCGATGAGAGAGAGTCATCGATCAGCTGCCTCTTGCACACCTCCTACTGGGGATATGCCCGCAACCAAGGTTCATGCCCTTGATCAGAATTGAACCCAGGACCTTTTAGTCCCCAAGCCGACGCTCTATCCATTGAACCAAACTGGTTTTGGCTGTTTTTATTGTTTTTAGAGAGAGAGGAAAGAGGGAGAGAGAAAAAGAGAGGGAGAGAAACATCTATCGGTTGCCTTCTGCACACACACACACACACACACACACACCCCCCCCACACATCCTGACTGAGGATTGAATTTGCAACCTAGATATGTGAACTGACCAGGAACCGAACCCACAGCCCTTTGGTGCACGGGATGATACTCCAAGCAATTTAGTCACTTGGCCTGCTTTATGTGAGTTGGTCGATTGCTATTCTCTGGAAGGCCACAGAATCTTATAGCTGCTCACCGAGTCTGTGCAGGTAGTCAAAGCCAACATCATGGAGGACAATTTGTTAAATCTTTTTCTTTTTAAAAATTTTTAAAAATATATTTTTATTGATTTTAGAGAGGAAAAGAGAGGGAGATAGAAATATCAATGAGCGGGAATCATCGATCGGCTGCCTCCTGCAAGCCTCCAACTGGGAATAGAACCCTCAACCTGGGCATGTGCTCTTGATCGGAATCAATCCTGGGACCCTTCAGTTCGCAGGCCAACTCTCTATCCACTGAGCCAAACCAGCCAGGACAAATCTTTTCTTTTTTTAAATATATTTTCATTGGTTTCAAAGAGGAAGGGAGAGGGGGAGAGAAGTAGAAACATAAATGAAGAGAGAGAATCACTGATTGGCTGCCTCCTGCAGTCCCACACTGGGGATCAAGCCCGAAACCTGGCATGTGCTCTTGACCGACTGGAATTGAACCCGGGACTCTTCAGTCGGAAGGCTGACGCTCTATTCACTGGGCCAAACCAGACAAGGCAAATTTAGTGATTTTGAAAGTCCTTCAATGTAAAATATCCCCTGCTGGTTTCACAATATGCTTTTCTCTTCCATCAGTGCCTGAGCTAACGACCTTGCAGGCACATCCTCTGCAGCTCTTCTGAAGAAGATAACATAAATGCAGCTGCTGGGGCCTTGCTCCTTTAACCGTATCCCAACCTCTGGGCATGGAGTTGGGTTCAAGAATTTTTAAAAGCTCCCCAGATGTTTATAATGGCAAGGCTGAGAATCAATGACACAAGAGTTTTTTAGTGTTTCATTCATTGAGTTTCTCATCATTCTAAATTTTCTCTTGAAATCACAGTCCAGAGGGACCTGTTAACACTCGCTAGCCTTGCTAAAAGAAAATCCTAAATTTGAACCGGGTGGTTGATTGATTCACACTTTAGTCAACATGTTTGAAGGTTAATCTTGCCCAAAGGGAAGAAATGAAAGTTGTTGGGTGTTAGTTTTTTTGTTCAAAAAAAGGCCAACTCTTATCTCATGTGAGAAAACTGAGAGATGGCGTTTTGCCTTTTCAATACTCTGCATGCCCAGCCTGAATCAGCAGTTTGCATGTGATCACAGTCATCTTTCAGGTTTACAAATAGAAGTGGTAAACTGCCTAGGGTGGGGAGGGGGCATATCTTTGCCTTGGATCTCCTTGGAGTGCTAGGTGGGCCCACAGCCTTCACTCATCATCAGGCGGGCTGCCCTTGGGGAGTATCACCCTGCACAACCTCACCCTGCAGTGCTGCCAGGACCCATCAGGGAACTGATTAATATTCCTCATTCATGAATGGGTTTTGTACATATTTGCTGCCTTTTGATTACATGGGGCCAAATGTACTGCATTTCTGTCATAAACACTTTCTGAGGAGCTCTTCCTCTCCATCCCACATGCCTGGTCCTAATTGAGATGCTCATCGGCTCTTACCTGGATGTCTGCAGTAGCTCTCTAAATCAGACTTGCTGCCTCTAATCTCATCCCCTTCAAACCGAGCCCACACATTGGCCAGAGTCAATTAAAATTCAGCCGGGCCCGAATGGCTTCAGTTATTGTGTAGACCTATGAACTTCAAGGAGGTCAATTCGATTCCCAGTCAGAGCACATGCCCAGGTTGCAGGATGCAGCGAATCAATGATTCTCTCTCATCACTGATGTTTCTCCTCTCTCTCTCTCTTCCTCTCTCTCTCTCTCTCTCTCTCTCTCTCTCTCTCTCTCTCCTCTTTCTCTCTGATCAACAAAAATATTTTAAAAGAAAACAACAACAAACACTCAGATGTGGCCAGTTCTCATCCTTGTCCAACACCCTCCAGAGGCTCCTGAAGACATGAGGACTTTCCTGAGCTTCTCTTAGACCGTTTCCTTAGCAGCCACCCCATTGCTCTGGCCCCACCAGATCCTCTAGCAATGCTGATTTGTGACTCTCCGTGCACATCCCCGCGGTCATTGTTTCCATCACTTCCTGTCATCCCGATGCTGGTGGAGGGATTCTGCCGGCTGGTTCTGTCAGGCAGGATAGGTAGCTGCTAGGGCAGGAGGAAGGGAAGCAGGGTGGAGAGGGCAGCTTATCTCACTCCTGAACAAGAAGGTCATTGGTCAATAAAAATCACCAGATAGTGTCATAAATTCTGGGAAAAACTACAACAGTGTAAAAGGGGGACTTTGAAATCTAATCTGTTGCTCAAGATATCCAGTGGGGGAAAGTATAAAACCCTTGAACCCCCACCGACTAGCTGAGTCGTCTGCTTGTGCCTTATGCCAACTGTATTCTTACTAAATTCAGTTGCTTTGCCTCCTTAATAGATTCAGTTGCTTTGCTTCAACACTGCTTTCTGCCACTCGTCTGAATTCTTTCTCGTGAATGTGACAAGAGCCGAGGGGGGGAGAGATCCCCTCTGATTTGAGCAGCTCTCCAGTAACAGTGGTGGGCGTGGCCAAGTACACACACGGCACTGGACAGGTGAGATGGATAACAGTTTATTGGTCACATATGTACACTCACAGGCCAGCGAGGAGGACACCAACGCTATGCAGGGCCACACAGGGCTGCACTGGGAAACAGTGAACCACCTATTTCCTCAGGAGGTTGACTTTGCAGTATCAAAAAGTTGGGGTGCCCTCTGGCTCAGGCTTTTTTGAACAATTGGTTGTTCTTGTTTGAACAATTCCAGGGGCTGACAGGAAGCAGAAACCCGTGGCTCAGAGATTAAGTAGGAACTGTGACTGGTCCCTTTGACAAGGAGGGTGGTTTTGCAAGGGAACAGTGATGTTTTTTCTGGGAGCAGCGTGGAGGGGAACGTGTGGTTAGGGCATCTGAGGCTTTCCCAGTTTTCACCAGATGTCAAAGCAGCACCTAATATTGGGCTCTGACTTGGGGCCTTACACTGCAGGCAGGAGTGTCTTCCCTGTGCACTTCTCCATCTCCCCTCTGCCATTGACTCTCCGGACTAACTCCTGGTTAGCTCCGGCACCCTCTCCAACAGACACTTGCCCTGACCTCTCTCCTCCAGATAGGTAACTTACCCATCCTAAGAAGCTCTCATCACATCCTCTGGCTAAAACAATTACATCTCATTTTTCGTCTTCCCTCTAGACTAGGGGTGTTGAACTCAATTAGAGAAGGGGCCAAAATCTAAAATCCAGCCTAAATCGCGGGCCGAATGGTTTACTGAACAGTCATAAACTGTCATTGTGATGGAAACGCAGCAGAGTGCAGTGATGACAGTGCGGTGCGGGCCACATTGCAAGGCCTGGCGGGACGGATTTGGCCCGCGGGCCTTGTGTTTGACACATGTGCTCTAGACTGTAATCTTTTGAGGAGCAGGACCCTGCACAACCGATTTGTTTCAAATCTCCAGTGCCTGTTCAAGAAGAGATGGGCATTTTAAGAATATAACGCAAAGCTTTACTTTTACCTAAAAAGTTCTAATTTGCTTTTACTACATTTTACATGGTCAGAAAAAGGAAGTCAGTTGGAAACAGTCAGGAAACGAGGAAAATTTTAAACTCTATTAAAAAAAAACACCTGCCTGGCAGGTGTGGTTTAGTGGATTGAACACTGTCCCCTGGACCAAGTGTGCCGTGCCAGCACAGCCAAGGGTTCGGCGAGCCTGAGGGAGGGCCGGCAAAGGATGAAGCAAAGACAGGCAAGGAGAATAAGCTGGGTCTAGGTGGATCTTCTGTGTGTGACTGAGACCACAGAACAGATCCAGACTGCAAGCTGATGCTTTATTTTATAGTCAGATGTAAACAAGGTAATTTACAATGTTCTTGTAAGTTTACTTGTTTTTGCAGCACTTGCTGCACCTCCCACAGCCCCTTAGCTACCCAGGAAAGATCTAGGGAGCAGTCACAAGATCCAGCTTAATTATGCTTAGAGGACTGTGCCGTCTAACCTGGGACTTGTTTGCAGCTTTGACAGCATGTCAGTCTGAGGCTTAACCCTACAACCAAGAGATCCTGGGTTCGATTCCCAGTCAGGTCATAAGCCTGGATTTCGTCCTTGATCCTTAGTAGGGGGTTTGCAGGAGTCAGCCAATTGATCTCTCTCTCATCAATGTTTCTGTCTCTTTATTCCTTTCCCTTCCTCACTCCCTAAAATTGAAAAATAAAATTAAATTAAATAAAACTGTGAGGGGAAATTAATTAAAAATAGTTTTGCTAATGTATTCTCTTCCTCCTCTATTTTTCACAATGCTGCGTTTGGCCCCATTGAACATCTGCCTTCAGTCTGCCTTGGAGATTTTGCTGCTCTCCTTTTCTTAAGCACAGCCCTGACCGTTTGGCTCAGTGGATAGAGCATTAGCCTGCAGACTGAAGGGTCCCAGGTTCGATTCCAGTCAAGGGCATGTACCTTGGTTGAGGGCACATCCCTAGTGGGGAGTGGTGCAGGAAGCAGCTGATCGATGTTCCTCTATCCCTCTCCCTTTCTCTCTGTAAAGAAATCAATAAAAATATTTTTAAAAATTGTTAAGCACAGGCTCAAAGATAGTCTGTAATTCTTAAGAACCGTTTCAAATCAGTGTGTTGGTAACCAGTTCCTGTGATGAGGACCTGAGCTAATGTTAGTTTCCTTCAGGGCATATTCCGATCAGCAACAAATGTCACACCTGGACCAGTGAATCCAGGGCATCTGGGCTGAGGCATTTGGAGATCACTGCCTCCAGGAACCTTCAGGAAGAAGCAAACATGAACACACAAAGCTTTTATAACCCCAACCTGCCCATAGAAGTATCCGACATCTCATGACTGGCAAGAAACAGCCAGATTCACACCCAGGTGTGCCAGCCCCTGAGGCTGGGGAGCTGGCTGGGAAGGGAAGTGGGTCCAGTGAGCGGGCTGCTGTGGAGGATCACGCACAGCAGAGGGGACACGCTAGCAGCCTACGGCTTGGCTGAGCCCAAAGACAAGTTTTGTTCGGCCTGCACTAGACTTAATTTTCCCCCCAATTTTTAAAATGTTGTATAATACACATGAAATTTCCTTCTTAACCATATTAAGTATATAGTTCGATGGTATTAAGCACACTAAATGATGTTGTGCAACCATCGTGACCAGCCATCTCCAGAGCTCCTCATCTTATTAAACTGAAACTCTTTCCCCATTAAACACGAACTCCCCCAATGCCTGGCAACCACTATACTTTCTGTAGAATTTCTAAGAATTAGACAAATCTAACTACAGTACCTCATATAAGTAAAATCATATAGAGTTTGTCTTTCTGTAACTGGGTTATTCCTCATAGCATAATGTCCTCAAGTTTGTCCATGTTGTAACATGTGCTAGAACACCCTTCCTTTAAAAAAAAAATTAAATTGATTTCAGAGAGAAGTGAGAGGGAGAGAGAAAGGGAGAATCATTGATTAAGCTGCCTCCTGCATGCCCCTTACTGGGGATCGAGCCTTCAACCCAGGCATTTGCCCTGATCAGGAATTGAATTTTGACCTGCTGGTTCATAGGTTGTCACTCAACCACTGGGCCGTACTGTCTGGGCATGACAAATCAAAAGATCTGCCAGAGCTGGGCACGTATTCACACAAGTCAGCGTTAGCTGGAGGGGCCTGGGCTGCTCTCGAAGGGGCAAGCATTTTCCAGCTCTCCACAGTCCCTAACACTCCCTGATGCCTGATCTCTGGGAATGTTCATCATTGCCCTCAACTTGCCTATGTGTCCAAACCTTTAGGTAAATGGTTCAGCCCCGCCCGGCTCCTCAGGCTTCGTGAAACTGCTGAAGCAGCTCTGGGGCCACATGTGACTGGAGCCTCCACATCTTCACATGCTTCTTGTAACAGGAGCCACGCAAATGATAAAGAACCTTTCCCCATAGAACGTAATAAATCAGTCAAGAATCTAGGTGTGACCAGGGAGTAACATCCTGAGCCCAATAACTTCGGGAGGGCATTTGAAACAAAGAGTACCTTTTCCTGGGCTTGTCCAAAGCAGCAGAGCCAGGCAAGCCGCCCACATTCCGGCATTATGCTTTTAGGGCCACTGTCCCTTTGAGTAAACGGCAATGGCTCCATGGGGCTTTCTGGAAGAGACAGTTTGAAATGCCAAAGTTGCCAGCATGGAACATTTCTTGTTGCTACATTACCTAAACAAATGCTCGAGGGCTCTAAGGTGACTAATGCCCTAACAATGCCCCACAGAAAGGAGCCTGTGGGTGCTCCACGCTCCCACGGTTTGCAGCCAGAGCACAGGCACTTTGGCTGAAGAATGGTACCTGGGATCCTGTGTGTCTGGGAAGATGGGAGGGACCCTCAGTGCTGCTCCCAGATTAACCTGGTGAATCACTCAGTCCCTCACAGTGAGCAAGGCAGGAGCAGAAGTTTCTGGGGCACACCCAAAAAGGAGAGTTACCCAGGCCCAGATTCCTAGGCCCTCTTCTCAAGGACCTCTCCTTATTAACAACAGAGTGGCACCTTCTCCCGACCACCTGGAGGATGTGTACCCATTTCACAGCGGAGGGAATGGAGATTTGCGTCACAATGGCCCATCACCGTGGATGGGAACTATAGAAGCGCTAATAAAGATCTATTTGACCATTTTGGAATTCAAGTTCTTAGCTACGTTGATTAGGTGCAGCCTGAATCAATTAGCAAAAAGGTGCTCAAGCTATCCATGGCAGAGTCCTGCCATTTTGCAAATGTAGGCCTGGTCTCAGAAATACTTAAAGGGTCCATGCACATAGTACATATAAGGTTTAATTTCAGGCATTCACTGGGGGTCTTGGGACATATATACCCTGCAGATAAGGGGACACAATTGTACTATAATATTAGGGTTCTGTGTGCTTCTCTAAAAGGACTGCCAGAGGGAAGGGGGTTGGAGGGTCTGGGTGATAAAAATAAAAGGAGTAAGAATTACAAATTGGTCTCACAAAATAGTTCCGGGGATGTAAAATACAGCATAGGGAATGTAGTCAATAATATTGCAATAACTACGTATGATGCCAGGTGGACCACTTTATAAAGCATATGATTGTCTAACCATTATGCTTTGAAACTAATACAAAGTAATATCAAATTTAAACTATGACTGAAAAAATTAAGTAAATAAACAAATGAAATTGCCATGTGCTTGCCCTGCCCGCCCAGAGCATCATTCCACAAGCAAATCCGTCTCCTTGCCCCTTTTAGTTTCTACATGAAGCAAGAGCACCTTCATCCATTATGCTTTTTATTCTTCATAATACAGTGAAGTGGGTGCTGATCTGGTACCTGGAGGTCAGCAGCATGGCCTCAGATGTGTGGCACAGGCAGGGCAATCCTCAGTGACTGTGCTTGGGTCCCTGACGATCC